CTGTAAATAAATATAAGACATTTTATATTACTATTAAAACATCTTAAAGTGCGGCCTATTTTCACCCGCTGTAATCAACTGGGACAGCTCACTTTTTGTGCCTAGTTACTTCTTTTATTCTTCTTGTTGGCATCTTCTCAGTCTGTTTTTTTTTTCGCCTTTTGTTCTTCGTGTTTTTTCTATTTTATTTTTCTTTTATTAAATTCGTGAAGTTTTTTTTCTTCCTTTTTTTGAACTCATGAAGTTTTTTTAAATCCGTGAACTGTTTTTCAAACGAATACATGTTCTGAATTTCGCAAACTTCTACCAATAAATGTTGATAAACTGTTTTGAAATGCTTGCGCAATTTTAGAAAAAAATTCACAAGATTTTGGAAAAAGTTCAACATGTGTTTAATAATGTTCATTGGGTATTAGAAAAAGTTAAGCTTTTCCCAAATGGTCAACATGTGTTCAGATAAATATTCATCATTTATTTGAAAAAATATTTAACATGTGTCTAGAAAATGTCCAGCCTATATAGAGAAAATGATTAACTTGAATTTTAGAAAAGTTGACATGTATTTGAAAATTTGAAAAAAAAGAAAAGAGAAAACTGAAAAAAAAGTAATTCATTATAAACTGATAAAAACATAAATAAAAATTAAAGATGCAAAACCTTCCCAAAACTGGGCGGAAGGTTCCTACACCGGTTTGTGCCGGTCCAGGGAAGCTTTGAAAAACCCTCACGTGTGCAGCTCCTAATAGACTAGCCCACTCGGGCGAACTCTATAGGCGAGCGCTAGTACCGTCTCACGGTAACTAGACATAGCATTTACTTCATTTAAAAAAAATCACGGTGAATTAAAAAAAGTGTAGTGCAAATTTGTTAACTTAATTTTAAAAATAGTTCATATCATCTAACAAAAAAACCCGTATATTTTCAAAAATGTTCACACATTTAAATATTTTGTGAAATTTTATAAAAAATGTTCATGAAAATATAAAACAATGTTCGAATTATTTGAAGAAAAGTTCATAGCATTTAAAAAATTGATCGTGACATTTGAAAAACACTCACATGTTCAAAATTTGTTCATGTTTTTTTAGAAAAATGTTTATGAAATGTAAGAGGCGACTGCATCACTCCCGTTGGGCGCCTGTGGGGGCCACCCAAGCATTCATGGATTTAAAAGAAGTTCATCAATTTTCAGAAAAACAATTCTTGAATTTGAAAAAAAAGCGCAGCCTTTAAAGGAAAGTTTGTAAAAGCTGAAAAGAGTTCATGTATTTGAAAAAAAGTTGATGGATTTGGAAAAAAGTTCACGGATTTGAAAACAAAGTTCACGAATTTGAAAAGTACACATACTTAAGGAAAAATTCATGACTTTTAAAAAAGATAAAAATATAAAGAAAGAGAAAAATAAAAATAGAAGAAAATTGGACAAACAAAAACCGAAAAAGCCCAAGTAGACTCGTGTTGGTTAGTGTTATAATTAAAGAAGAAAAAAAGAAGGTGACAAGACACAACAAGAAAATAGTCTGGTTGGTTGCCGCGGTTGTACTAAGGGTATAGGTGCTGGGTTTGAATCTCGTTGGGCACTTATTTTTTGAAGGTTTTACATAAGAGGGAAAAAATGTAAAATGGGTTGGCTCAGATGTTACCTATCTTTTTGGCAAAGTAGCATTTCTTGTGTAAAGAAATCACCGTGTCCTTTTTTTTGCAGTGCAAATCTGAAATGGTTGGCATTCAAGCTTCTATTCACTATATGGATCTTTTTGGCCAACTCATGCTTATTGGAACTGCCCACAGTAAGTAATCAACCAATACACATTTTTTTCCAACTATAATTACATCATATCATTATAAATATTTTATCCTAATCATGTTTGCATATATGTTGTGTAGCTTTGTAAATAAACGTAACTACAGGTTTGCATGCTCAATGCAAGAGTCTTTAACTCATGGATGAATTACAGGAAATTTATGGAAGTGTATATTGAGAGGGCGCTTCCACAAGAAGCCGGAGTAAACAACAAGTTGAAAC